TAATACTGAAAATTCTCTGTCCCTGGCAGTCATTAGGAAGTAGCAGTAAACGTGTCCAAAAGTTTTCCAGTATGCGGAGCTACTACAGCTAGTGTTTTCAACACGGAAGCCAACTGTAAACCAACAATTTCATGTAACATGTTAGAGTAAATCTAATTGGGAAGGGAGATCTACAACAATCAATGTTACTTTAGCTCCTGGACTGATCTGAATTTCAAACTTTAATTAGAGAGCACATTAGGATTCCCACTGTAGAAATAAGAATATTAATCTTCATCTCCTTAAGTAGGGACCTTTGGAAACAAGTTGATTAATCTTCCAGTGTTTGTAGGGATGCATTGGTAAGTACATACATCTCTTTCTTATAGAAATATCAGTGTAAGCCACACGGAGACCCCAGGCGGCTGAACTGGCAGGACTGCGAATCCCAAATGTGTCTTTGGCTCACGAAGGGCTCAGGAGCTGACCCGACAGAGAGGTCCTGGGCACATCGCGGGTATTTCTTTCCACGAGACACACTCACGTCCTCCCCTCTCACAGGTAATGCTCAGTGCCCGTCTACTGAAACGCTAATGACGTGTTTCATACTTCAGGAAATTATTTGAAATGAGAATGGCCATGCTGGGTCAGGCAAAATACCCACATAGGTGAATAATCCTGCTCTACTTCTGCCCAAAGAGTTGCCTATGGAGCCTCAAAGCAGGCAAGCGTGGACTGGCAGCTCCCCAGCATCCTCACTGCCTCCATGGACTAAAGCTGCTGGAGCACTGGTTCCAGATCTATACCAAAATGATACTTTGTGCAGCATGAGAAGTACAGCAATAAAGTACAAGCCCGCGTTCTCTCGTGCAAACAATGCTCTTACGAGCTGCTCAGGGATTTCACATTTGCCCTGGCAGCTCAACCAGAGACCCCATTGCACCATCCTGTTTACACCCTCATCAGGAGAACTGTACGGGTAGGGAATACGGCACCTGGAGTTCATCATACGTGACATAAATGATTTAAGAACTCCAAATCAGCACAGTCTTACCATGTTGCAAATGTAAGATGTCTCCATGTCTCAAAAAGACAAATTTTCACAAGAACATACACGATGGGCACACCGAAAAGGTAACACGGATTTTCAGCGATGGCCAGAGGTGGATGCAGTGAAAATCAAGCCTGCGGGCTGCACTCCCCTGCTGGGGCTGTTCAGCAAACAGCACATTCCTGCTAATGTCAATCCCCGCTCTGTGCCAGGTAACTGATACCGACACAGCAGTGAAGTGAAGGGGAAGGTGAAAGGAGGGACAGAGGACAGGACAGTTTCGCAGTGTTTCTGTTTTCACTCCACAGGGACACAAGAGAGAATTTTAAACGAAATTATTGCCAGGAAAATCAATATATTAACACACAAACCCCTCAGAAACACGGCAATAAAACACAAGCGTTTGCCACATACAAAGGCAGGTTAAGAGCGCTTTTGTTTTGCAGTACTCATGCCTGCAATGCTGTTTACAAGAGACATTCTCCACGCCCAGCTTACCACAGTCCATCTGAAATTTCAGCAGCCCTCAGATGGACAAGGAATGGAAACAGGAGAATGAGGGAAACAAATCAAAGGCTACCAATTAATTTTCATCTCCTACATCGTTCTTGTTCAGCTGGGGAAAGGCCATCTTTCCAAGCGAGTTCAGAAATGCTGCGGGCCCCTTCACCCATTCCCGTCAAGTCTTCAGAAAAGAAGGTTGGAAAACGCTAACAACAGGTAACAAAGCAGAACCGCTGAGATTTATACATCTGGAAATTCAGGGGTAAAACTCTGTACACAAGAATAAAGAAGAATGTATTTATCAGCACGTGAGTGAGCAGAGAGTTCCAGAATGGAAGCTTGTTTTGCTCAAAAACATCACGCTAGCGTGCAATTGTAGTGAAACTTTTACACAGACATAACAAGCAGAAAGCCTGGGGAAGATGTGAAGGATAAAATGTGTCCTTACTCCGCTTTTTCACTGTGGAAGACACTCACCCCTTTTTCTAAATTCGGAAACAGAAGTTCTCTCTCCTTCTGCCCCTCTCTCTTTCTGTAGTCTAAGTTATGTGTCATAGAAACTTCAAAGCAGCAGTATTTCCAACTCTTTTTTCAGACGAAAGATAACACACGTTCTGGGAGCCCCTGTGCTGCCACCTTTTCTGCACCGCAGCCAAAATGTAATGACAGAGCTCCAGCAGAGGTGTGAACTGCTTCCATTCATCCTCACCGAGTATTAACTTCATACACTGGTATTCAGCACTCCAAAGGTTACCTGTTGGGATCGTTGGTTAATAGCCAGGCTAGTTAGGATAATACTCAGGGATTAAAAACACTAATTTGATTGCCTAGTGGTTTCCACAGCATTACAGGCATCAGCTGTAAAATTAACACTGTATTTCAGGTATTTTCTCAGTCACATTTCTTAAGATGATGCACACAGGCCCAGATGTCTGTGTACAAACAGACTACTACAGCAAGACTCAGCTTTTTCAGGGGGAGGAGGAAATAACAAAACTTTGCCAACTTTCTGCACCTTCACAGATCATCTAAGTCTTCAGTATTAAATCTTGCTGGTTATGAGTTTAATATAAAGTAACTGCAGTGATTATGAGTATTACTCAATACCATGGTACAAGAGCATATGATAAACGAGAAACAATTTCCATAAAGTTTCTAATAAATATTCCTGCTAAATTCTAGTGTCTGAAAAAGGCCCTACAGTTCATTCACATGAACGTAAGGTCTCCTGTCTTCCTAAAAAGTTTTGGTTCAGTCAGATAGAAAATAATGTCCTGATGTACAGCTGTCATTGCTTTCTCAAGGTACACTTTTTAAGGTATATATTTAGCTTTTCACACTACTGCGTGGCTGGATCCCTACGGTAGAATGAAGCCTGTGAAACGCAGCAATTAGAGAGCAGCCACAAACTATTAGATGGCTCACTTGGTGTCATGAAACCTCTGCTGGAAACTTCTTAATAAAGTAACTGCAGTCTTTTCCATGTGTTTTTTTCTTTGGGATCTTATCAAAATGTCTGAGTTAGTTCCCAGCCCTCACACATCTATTTCAATATTTAAACTCAAAAGCAGATGAATATTCCCCAGGCAAAAAGGATTCCTGAAGCAGTACCAAGCTGCAGTACCTGGGTGCCTCCAGGCCATCTATGAAAAATGAAAAGTATCTCACAGACCCTGAGAGCGCCAAGTGAGCCGTTGGCACTGAAGCCAGAGAAATCCCAGTTTGTCAGCTCAGGGTTGGTGATTCCAACTCTGCTATTTGCTGCTCCTCCCTGTTAAAGAGGTGAGGATCAAGCACATTTAATCAGGGTTATGTTAAACCTGGCACATCAATCAGCACTTTCCAAATCCAGTGTGATATAACCAGAAAAGGTTAATAGCACAGACCCACTGGTAAGAAGTTAGAAATACCAGGCTCTGGGTCACGTCCCCTATGTCAACTGATAAAACATAAGTCAACATATTAACAGAACTGTAATTTGCTAACTGTGCACCTTATGGACAGAAAAAATTATTTAAGTATCACTTACTGGCTGCTTTCATATTACATAAATGTATTACTTTGCTAGGACTCACTTGTGTCTCATTCCACATCTCAGGTGTAAAAGTGCTAAGCTAGATGAAAAGAAATATTGCATCTGGAAATGATGAATTTTCCCACTCTCTGAGGCTTGCCATTTGAGGCTGAGGTCTGGTTTCTTAACTTTACACACGCCATTTCTGTGGAGGCTTAACTTCCTTAGGGCACAAAGTCTGAGGAGATCAGGGTATTTTAAAGACACTGGATCCCATCTGATAGAAACAGATTTTAAAAACCTTACCGCGATATAAGTCACTGCTTTCACTCTACTAGTGTGAGGAACTGTTGTGGTGGGCAACTGATACCCTATTTAACAGAGCCCAGCTGGTGCTGAAAACTGCATTCACACCTCATTTAGGCAAAAAAAAAAGTTAATTATAAAAGGGTACATGGAAGGTCAGAGATCTAAGGTAAAACTAGGAAAACTTACATTATCCATAAACATTAAATTTCCTCTGTCTTCAACAGAAGCAGAATTTCACATTTCAAGCCCAAACCTTCCCTGACACACAACAGTACACAAAATACGACAACAATCTATTTCAAATGTGAAACACTTGTAAAAATGGGAATAAGAGAGAAACGAAAAGTCTTTCACACGAAGGAATACTGAGGTATATCGAATATTATCCAAAAGCAGACATTAACTGAAAAAGTCTATTAGTAACTGCAAAATGGAAATAGTTCCTAGCGCTACTAAAAGCTGTTGCGCTCAGTGGGCAAAGGCTTCTAATTTAAAAAATACTTCACCATGATTCAAGTACACTGAGGTATAGAAACTGTATTTAAAAAACAATTAACAAATACTATCATGATGTGCCCATTAAACTGGGCTAAGGCAGTTGGTTTTTGGATCCATGTTAGGATAAATCAGGGTGAATGTTTGGAATCAGGAAGTTCTTAATATGAACTGGCTGAAATGTTGGAAATCATTTAAGCAATAGAAGTCTTTCACAGTTTAGGATTATCCTAAATGCACACATCATAATATGCACATCACGACTGATGTAATATATCTGTCCATCTCGATGTCTGTAAAAGAGAAGTTATTGCAAGGTTCTGCTTTTGTTCACCAGCTGCGCTGAATTGTTTTTGCATTGCAGAAATTCTCAAGAGACCTCTTTACCTATCACGATTACATCACTAAAAACCAGTACTTTAGAATGGCAAAGACTAATCGTCCAACAACCATGGAGAGTGGCTCAAGATTAAAGAGGGAACATCACTAACATGGCAAAAAAGAGCATTATTTCTTCCATAAACAGCTTTGGTCAGGGTTTTCTTTAGAATGTCCAGCATCCATTTCAGTAGTTTTGACATGTCTCTGGCTCTTGCTGTTCTTCTGCAGCTCAGCTCGGACAGTGACGATAGGCAGCTACTGACCAACCCAACTGAAAATTATCAGAACTAAACTGAGAAGACCAACACAAACGCCAAAAATAACCAACGCACATGCCTGTGAAGAAAGAAAAGCAAAAATTAATGTTTTACTGAAGAAAGCATTCCACATTTCTAAGGCTTATAACTACTGATAAAAAACCCTGTGAGAACAGGTTTAAATAGTCTTAAAATTAACTTTAAAGTTTCAAATTACTTAGTCTTCAAACACAAGATATCTACTTAAGGGGAAACTAAACTAAGGGTGCTCTGGGATAGTTTCATTGGGAAGCCTCAGAGCAGCCTGGTTTGCTCGCTCACACTGTCCGCCCGATAAAAAAATCATTTGCCTTTTACAACTCCGAATAAATTAAGAAATTCAATTTGTATTTTTCAAGCTACAATGGATTCTTTACATTTTTGAATAGCCAGATGATAATAAAACTACAGTTCAAGAGACAGCAGCTTGCTAATTTATGACAAGGCCCCAAATCTGTTGGAACTAGTCAAGACTTTAAATGGTCAGAGAGCATCATTATTGGATTTTATTTCGGATTCCCGATTTTGCCAGCACAAGAGCAGCCCTATCAATCATAAGAATGGCAGAGGGCCTATGTGTAAACAATTTCTCACCATTTTAGCCACTGTCATGAACTTGTTCTGAAGCAGTGATTAAAATGAAGACAGAGTGCAAAAATTCCAACTAGAACTTAACCTACTGCACTGAAAGAGAAACCATAAAAAGGACAAAAAAGGGAAAAGCACAAAAAATGGTTTTGAAAAGGCTCAGATAGAAAACAAGTACAAACATTGTTTCACTTAAATGCAGTTTGGCTTTGTCCCAGCTGCCCAGACAACATCAGAGCAACGCGTAAAAAATGAGGAGAAATTGGATTAAAAGTCAACATCTGAAACCTGTAGGGA